CAGTACTGCAGCAGGTAGCTCTGTTTGAAGACTAGCAGAGCTTTTTTCCCTTTAGATTCTAGTCTTAAAAGAATGAATCTTCTACCCTTAATGTCTGTTATCTCCAGGGGCTAGTTTCAGAAGGTCTGGTGTAAAGGCTACAGGGACGCATCATGTGATTCACTGAAATGCATTGATTTTGTTGTTAAAAGTAATGGAAGGCTTGGTTTATAACTAGTGGATTGTCCAAAATGCCAACTCAGCAAAAGTGGTCCAGTTTGACCCTGCCTTGGGAATCAGAAATCACACTACATGCTTATAGTTTGGAGCTCAAAGACATCCTGGTGCCTCTGTGACCTGCCCAAGTTGTTGGGTCCATTTTGGAGCTGGGAAGACCCCAAGCTCCCAGACAGACCCGCTCCGTTGGGTGTTCTTCAGATGTGCCTAACTGACTGCCGTACCCGGAGGCAGCTGAAGGCTGACCGTGCGAGTGGTTGTGGTGCTGCTCTGCTTTTGCCTGGTAGGGACCAGTTAGAACAGTTGCCCAGGAAGAAGTGGCAGGCCTTGGCTCTACACCTCCCTCACCCCAAAGGGATTGGAGCCCACATCTCCCACTTCCCAGGAGAGTTATCTAACCATCGGGTACCTCTTCTGTTCAAGCTGGACTTCTTGACAGACGTGCATGCCAGCATCATGTGGCCAGATCAAGCAAGCAAAGAGAAAAATCGCTCTGTAACGTAGTGGTTATAGCACTTCTCTGGGTGGGGGGAGAGGAGAATCTCCCGATACTGAGCTTTTTCATGCCTTTTTGCATTATATAATCATTTGTTTAAAAAATGAAAAATAACTTCAGGACTTTTAATAAAGGTTGGTCCAGTTTGTAAAGGTTGTTTACATCCCTTATTTTATTCTTCTGTCCTTATAAATTCTAAAAAATTGCTGTGTTGGGATAAAGGAAGAGGGTGCTAGTCCTTGCCCTGCATGAATGGAGCCAGTGATGATTAATCTTTAAGTATACCCAAGGCTGGTTTGTCCTGAGAAACCCTTTCTTAAGGTGTCATTATAATCTGAGATCCAGTTTATTGTTGTTCGGCACTCTGACTTCTCAGCAAATGGGACCTACATCAGAAATACTAATACATTGGGGAGATTTACATTATAAACCTTGATGATAAAAATTGACCAAGATGCTAGTTGGGTAAAACTCGCCCTTTCTTCCCTTCCCTAACCTCAAGTTGCAGCATCTCACACACTCTTGGGCTGTACAGTACATTGAAAAGACCAGTATGGAACAGAAAATATACCTGGGACAGACATGCATCCTGCATTTGTCTAAGATAAGTATTTTTTTTAAAGCTGATTCTGATCCAAAAAATCTATGCCTACCTCATTTTAAAAAAGTGTCTGTGCCTACTTCTGTGTATATGTAAGGACATCAGATTGTGATAGAATGGAAATCCAGAACTTACTCTGATGTTTCAAATAATTACCAGGGAGTATAAGTGTTGAAAATGAAATAAATTTACTTAAAGCAAATGCAGCAACCTACTGTACTGTCACTTCTGTTTGAATAGTCCGTTCAAATTTCTATTTTGTTTTGTAGGGTTTTGACCAGCTGCGAATAGAAGGCTTGCTTTGTGATGTGACATTAGTACCGGGAGATGGTGATGAAGTTTTTCCTGTTCATAGAGCTATGATGGCATCAGCTAGTGATTATTTCAAGGCTATGTTCACAGGTAATGCTTTTATTCCTGTCATATATATACAGGGCCAAATTAACTCTTTAGTGGGCCCTAAACAAACAAACTCATGGACCCCGGGCCCGTTGAGACCTCCCTTCCCACCCCGGTGCTAGGAAGCAGCTGCAGCAGGGGCAAGGCCAGTGGAGAGGAGGGGAAGAGAAGCGAATGGGGTGACCAGGGCTCCCCTGCAGCTCAGGACTCTAGGCATGTGCCTAGTTGCCTGTGCATTAATCCGACCCCGCATATGTATGGTTATTTCTTAAATTATTCTAATTTGGACTTTCAGTTGTTAAATATTCCAATCAGTATTTAAATATACATCCTAAATTTTGCATGCTGTTGTAGGTAATATCATCATAACTAAATTCAGCTAAAGATTTACATTTTTTTAAGTTAAGCTTATGTAACTTCTTTAATATTACAAACAGGAATTCATTAAACTATCTAATCTTGGTACCCATTTTAATTTATCTCGTTAACATTCTTAGGTGGAATGAAGGAGCAAGATTTAATGTGCATTAAGCTCCATGGTGTGAACAAAATAGGTTTAAAGAAGATTATTGATTTCATTTATACTGCAAAACTTTCTCTCAACATGGACAACCTTCAGGACACTCTTGAAGCTGCCAGTTTTTTGCAGATTTTACCTGTTTTGGACTTCTGTAAAGTGTTTCTTATATCTGGGGTAAGGCATTTTGATCTGATACGAATTTTATCTGATGTTTAAAGTTCTGAATTTTTTTTTTTTATGGTACAGTAATTGTATTATAATTGTGCATAAGGAACTTAAGTGTATTCCTGTAGATAACTTTGTGTTTGGATTTAATTATTACTCTAAATTTAAAGGAGCTACAGAAAACAAAACTTTGATACGTATCTCTAATCAAAGAAAGCCTTTGGTTACATGTATACCATATTCAAAACATTTCTAAGCTTAGTGTGAACTAGAAACTTATATTGAAGTCGCACAATTGCTGATTAATTTCTTACTGGATTGCTTAGTTAGGGCTCTTGTATTTGTATCTTAGCATACGAAACTTTGATTTCAGTTGCAGTAATTAATTATTTGTTATACAAAGAAATAACTACTAACTTAAGTATTTTATATAAGATCTTTTGTGGAGAATGAAGCATGTAATTAGACATAGTCATTTACAACATTGTCCTTTATGAATCAGTGCAGATACAACTATCCTTTAAACAAAGGATAGTATATTTGGTACAGGAACTAGTTAGGGAATGCTGTAATAATGCTAATTAGATGAAGTTCAGTGATGACTACCATGTATCTTTCCACAGTAAAAAGGAACCAAATCTACCTTGAATTTACACTGATGAATGTTTTGCTGTAGTGACCTTGATAACAATTTATAAGAGAGGAACCTTTATAGAAGTTAGTAACACTCCATCCTCTCCCACCAAGTAAGGCTTATTGAAATGGGGATAAATGCAGAGCTTAAGTCCACAGGATCACCTTTAAAGTTTTTAATTAAAGTATAGCTTGTGCACATGTACACTGGAGATATAGCAAGGTACAGCATATTTGCAGCTTACAAAGTAATCCTGTGTTCTTATTTAGCTGGAGTTGCCATAACAAAAGTGAAATACAATAGAACGTATGTTCTCAGCACTAATGGCTAAATGCAAAGCCCTAAATGCACGGTGCCACAAGACAGGCAAGGTTTTGCCCCTTTTCCTGAAGTTCCTTCATCATGGGCTTGTCTGCAGTGGAAATGTGAATGGCATGTTTAAAACATTGCAGGCACTTTCACACTGCCAACACTCAGCATAGGCGAAGGAGGACTATTTAAAATGGAGGTGGGAGGAACAGAGAATGGTAGGACTGCCAAGCTGGAAGAGATCTTGGCAGACTCTTTAGTCCATCTCCCTGCACTGAAGCAGGGTCAAGGATGCCTAGGACAGGCCCCCCAAAATATTAGTCTCCCCTGTTCTTTAAACCTCCAGTGGCAGGAGAATCTACAGTGCAAGGGTTTCAAAGTTGAAACGCTTTCTTCTCTGGGCAGGCAGAGGCTGTGTCTGCATCTGGGAAATGAGATGTCTTTGAAAACACACTGGCCTTTTCTGCACTGAAAAGGCTGTTCTTTAACAGGCGTTACTCCTGCTTAAAATCCCACGGTGATCATATTGCTAAGTTCAGGGAAATCCCAGCCTCTCTGGTAGGCTTTGCCCTACCTGTTAACATGTTGGGACCACAACTTCTACTGACCCATGCCTGGGCTTTGCTACACTGACTAGCACATCTAAAAAACCCCAAAACAAAACACCTTTTTTTGTGACTACAAGGCTACGGAAGTTGAAGGACCTTTCTGTCTCGGGGTAGCAATCTTCTGGCTGACAGGCAGAACTGGCTCGGGGAGGGGTTTGCAGCTCATCCTTGGCCCAACAGTGCCTGGGATTTTTATTAAAACTGTTATTTTGCATTGTTCCCTGGAGGGTCTGATCAGGTTCCAGTGGCACCATTGCTATGCAGGCACAGGACTAGTTGCTCCCTGGACTTTGCAGGCATGCTCTGAGATCCCTTTTTACAGGAGTTGAGGGAGGGAGCTCTGGTGATAGGTTGTGCAGAACAAATATTTGAGGGCTTATTTTGTTTCATCCAGAGGTGCTCTTTGGACTGTGTTGTGACCTGATCGATGACATGCTAGTTGGGTAAGGACCCGTGTTCTTCACTTGACAAATTCTTGCATCTTATATCTCAGAGACCTGCTCTATTCTGTGTATGTAGGTGATGTCTACAAAGCACAAAGTTGATTTCCATGCCTTCCTTCAGATTGCTCCCCAGTATTTGGCATTTGAAACATTGGCTCGTCACAAAATTGGCAGAAATGAACATCAGGAAAATCTCATTGATTGTCCTGCTAGGTAGAAGAATAATTTGGTACTTAAGGGCATGGTATGATAGTGCAAATTCTGACAGCGTACTAAGCAAAGGGGAATACAGTGACATTAACTGGAATTGAGTTTCTCTTTTCCATGAGGCGCAAGGTCATTGCTGATGAAACTTACTCAAGTGACTGCAAACCAAGGAAAAGTGGATATTTTGCATGGGGAGCAAGCAGGAAGAGCATTGATGGCCAAGAGTGCATTAACAGATTTCCTGTAGGGGTGTGCATGTGCCCTTGAGTTTTTTCCATATTTAAATATTGTTGAGTTGAAATATTCTTCATTGTTTTCTGTACTGGTTTGAAATGGTACAAAAAGCCACCACCAGCTCTTCAGTGGAGCAGTCTATACAAGCTTGTTAAAATAGTAAAGGCTTCATCTCTGATGCATGGTACTGAGGGGAAAGCATTGTCTTATTCTAGAGTCCTGAAAATATACTGCTAATTCTCAATCCAATCCCCTCCTGTCTCATAGCTGTTAATTATTTTATGTCAGGATTTATGAGCATATAACTGACTTTATGCACAAGATACTGCTTTTATTTGCTTGCTAAGCTTCTATCTAAGTGGAAAGATATTAGTGCTTCAGTCTGTCCTGTTAGTTATGGCAATAGGGGTGTCCCCCCCCCCCCCCGCAGAATTTAGACACAAGAAATTGATTTAACTCTGAAAGTAGATACTTTATTAGGTTCTTTCCTATTATGACCCTATCTACCCTGGAGCTTGTATATAAGTTTGAAGGCTTTTTTTTTTTTTTAGGAATGTGCTAGCATAACACTTTATATCCATCCTGAATGTTATTGAGCGTGGTTACCAACCTTGCTATGTAATGGTGTCATTATAGTCTAGGCAGCACTTTTTTTTTATATTATAACTGGGTTTGTGGCTGTTTTTCACTGCAGACTAAAACATACGAACTGCATCTTCCAAGTACAGCAGGAGAGCTGAGGGGTTCAGAGGTTCATACCCCCTTTTGTCCTTCCCCTACCCCAGATGTCACTTGTAGAGGCTGGCTCCCCATTTCTGCATTCAAATAAATTTGGGGATCCATTCCTCAAAATAACAGATGTCCCTGCAAAAGAGATGGTTTTTTCTTGGATTTGGCTCTTTCACCCAACCAGGCATTGGCAGCCTTCCTTGTCTTCCTCCCCTGCTTTGTCTTTGGGGGGACTGGCTGGAGTAAGAAGATGTCCCACTACCTGCTTTTGCTTTTCCAGAACCTCTGGCTTGGCTTCTTCTAAACCACAAAGGTCTTTGCCCTACAGCAGCAGGATGAGAGCTGAATGAATCCTTCAGCTTAACTCAAAGAAATGCTGCTTATATTGTACAGTGTTTTTCTGGAAACCCTCTGTGGGGCTGGAGAAAGGGC